ATTACCTGGAGTTGAATATTATTCTGCCTTACTAGGTTGGGAAAATTTTCCTGAATAATATCCTGAAGCGTATTTTCCAGCTTGGATTCATTCTCTTTGTCACATTCAGGTATACCTATCAAGCGTAGATTAGGTCTTTTCACATAGTCCCATATTTCTTGAAGACTTTGCTCGTTCCTTTTTATCCTTTTTTCTCTAATCTTGTCTTCTTGTTTTATTTCATTGAGTTGGTCTTCGACCTCTGATATCCTTTCTTCTGCTTGATCAATTCGGCTGTTAAAGCTTGTGCATACTTCACGTAGTTCTCGTATTGTTTTTCAGCTCCATCAAATCACTTATATTCCTCTCTAAATTGTGTATTCTTGTTAACATTTTGTCAAACCTTTTTTCAAAGTGCTTAGTTTCTTTAGATTGGGTTTCAACAAGTTCTTTTAATTCACAGAAGTTTCTCATTATCCACATTTTGAAGCCTGCTTCTGTAATTGGAACACACTCGTTCTCCATCAGGCCTTGTTTCGTTGCTGATGAGGAACTGTGATCCCCTGCTGAGGGAGAGGCATTCTGATCTTGGGTATTCTCAGCCTTTTTTGGCTGTTTTCTTCCCTTCGTTGTAGATTTATCCATCTGTGGTCTTTATAATTACTGTCTTTGTAATTGGGTTTCCGAGTGGACGTACAACTTATTGATTCTCAGCGCCGAAATCTGAGCAACCCACTGCGCCGACTAAATCAGCGGCATTAAGATTGATGGTGCTTTTCTGACTCTGCACCAAGAACCGACGCTCTGAGGCGCTGGCAAAACTGCCTCGCCGGTCACAAGAGTCGCGCTGGCGACCCATAGGGCTCCTCCGCTGGGAATCTCCTGGTGCGTGAGCAACAAGAATTCATATGAAGGTGTGGTGTCCTCTGGTTCTTTGTGCTTTCACTGGGAGCTACAATCCTGAGCTGCTAGTGATCAGCCATCTTGGATCTCTCTCTGGGATTCCAGCTTTCTAACACTGAGCACTACCTGTTTGAAAAGGAATAGGCTTCCTTTTTGGGTATGGAGTATTCTAGAGATGTTCAAAAATCAGTTTTGTAAAAAGGACAAAAGTACCATGTAGGAGACTGGTTTATTAGATATTCTTCATCTGTGGTTTAGGGTCAGAAGCCTAAAGGTTTCGTTTAGAACCCAGAGTAGTTAAAACATGTAGCTAATATTCTAAGTCGCCCAGTCTTCTCAAAGAGATAATCTAGGGTAAGGTAGTACTCTCTTACCCTGGTTGGAGTAGACCCTTTGGTTGTTTAGTTTGCGCAATACTCAGCATGTCTAAAGGGCAACTGATGTTATTTCAGTCACCAGTCGGTATATAACATAGTGTAAATGGGCTTGGAAAATTAAGAATTTGGTCACCAAAATGAAAACTTAGAATTGCAAGATCTTTAGTATTAAAAACAGCATGTATGACTTTTGTAGATTGTAATCACTAAACAAAATGCCTGTTTTAAAATTATCTCAAATTTTTTTAATTACAAAAGAAATGTGTGCTTAGTGTCTTTTTAAAGTTGGAAGTAAACTATAAAAGTACCCTTTCATCCTCCTCAGTCTAGCTTCCTTAGGGACAGGCACTGCAGTTTTATCTGTAGCATTCTAGACCTTTTACTGAACATACCCCCACCTCCACCCCACATACATACAAACAAACACACATTTTCAGAGCTATATATTAAAAAGTATATATTATATAATATAGAGTATGCATATATAATAATATACTTTACCTACATATATACCAGTATATGTGTATATATTATGCATGCAAAGGCATATGATTTTTCTTTAATAAAACCAGTATTTGCATTAAACATTATCCAACAATTTGATATTACTTAATTATATAATTAGTACATATTTTCAAATGGCCCTATCTTAAATATTTTCTTAAACAATAAAGGAAAATATAGAATAAAGTCTCAGGATAAGAATTAGAAAAATAGGTACTCTAAGGAAATTATAATGAAACAATACAATTTTGTTAGTTCTCAAATATTACAATACGTAGGGTTATTCTATCCTGAACATTTTCATTGTACTCTTAAAGGAAGAAAAATAAAATGATTTATACTTTTATTAATAGGTAAACATTTCCAGGTGTTTTCTTTTCAGGTATTTAATTTTTTAAAAATCTAAACAGAAAGAAGACACCCTAGTACCAATTTCAAATTTGCCAAATGGCACATGTAGTCAAAAGTGCGTCTTTTTCCTTGGTTCTCCAGACCCATAATTTATTTCTCCAGAGGCCATTATTAAGCAGTTTCTTATATATTGTAAAGATGTACCTTAATATTCTATACATTTAAAATAAGAAAACATGCAAAAAGCAAAACCGTATCACCACCCACCAAAATGACTGCACTTGCATGAGTGCAGGCACACCTCATTTTATTGCACTTTGTAGATATTACTTTTTTTTTTAATTGAAGGTTTGTGGCAATCTTGCATTCAGCAAGTCTATCAGTACCATTTTTCCAACAGCATGTGCTCACTTCGTGTCTGTGTCACATGTGGGTAATTCTTGAAATATTTCCAACCTTTTTGTTATTAAATTTGTTATGGTAATCTGTGAGCAGTGACCTTTGATGTTACTTATTATAATTGTTTTGTTCCAATAATATTGAAGTTAGGCCAACTAGTAACCCTATAACGGCCTAAGTGTTCAAGTGAAATAAAGAGTTGCACATCTCTCCCTTTAAATCAAAAGCTGGAAATGATTAAACTTAGTGAAAAAGGCATATTGAAAGCTGGGATATGCCTAAAGCCAGGTCTCTTTTATCAAACTGTTAGGTAAATTGTGAATGCAAAGGAAGAGTTCTGGAAGGAAATTAAAAGTGCTACTACAATGAACACACAAATGGTAACAAAGCAAAGCAGCCTAATTGCTGATATAGAGAAAGTTTGAGTTGTCTGGATAGAAGATCAAACTGGCCACAACATTCCTTAAGCCAAGACCTAATCCAGAGCAAGGCCCTAACTCCAATTCTATGAAGGCTAAGAGAGGTGAGGAAGCTGCCAAAGAAAAGTCTGAAGCTGGCAGATGCTTGTTCATGAGGTTTAAAGAAAGAAGTTGTCTCTACATAAAGCAGCAAGTGCTGATGTAGATGTAGCAAATTATCCAGAAGACCTGGCTAGATAATTGATGAAGGTAGTTACGCTAAACAGATTTTCATTGTAGATGAATCAGCCTTCTACTGGAAGAATATGCCATGTAGGACTCTTATAGCTAACAAGGAGAAATCAATGCCTGGCTTCAAAGCTTCAAAAGACAGGTTGACTCTTGTTAGGGACTAATGCACTGGTGACTTTATGTTGAAACCAATTCTTACGTAACATTCTGAAAATCCTAGAGGCCTATGCAAAACCGACTCTGTCTGTGCTCAAGAATTGGAACTATAAAGCTTGGACGACAGCACATTTGTTTACAGCATGGTTTACTGAATATCTAAAGCCCACTGTTGAGACCTACTGCTCAGAATAAAATATTTCTTTCAAAATATCACTGCTCTTGGCAATGCACCTAGTCACTCGAGAGCTCTGATGGAGATGTACAAGATTAATGTTGTTTTCATGCCTGCCAACACAGTTTCTATTCTGCAGCCCATATATCAAGGAGTAATTTTGACTTCTAAGTCTTACTTTTTAAGAAATACATTTTGTAAGGCTATAGCTGCCATAGATAGTGATTCCTCTGATGGAGCTGAACAAAGTAAATTGAAAAGCTTCTGGAAAGAATTCACCATTCTAGATGCCATTAAGAATATCCATGATTCATGGGAGATCAAAATATCAACCTTAACATGAGTTTGGAAGAAGTTGATTCCAATCCTCATGGATGACTGTGAGGGGTTTAAGACTTTAGGATAGAAAACAACTGCAGATGTGGTGGAAATAGCAAGACGACTAGAATTAGAACTGGAGCCTGAAGATGTGACTGAATTGTTGAAATCTCTTATCAAACCTGAATGGATAAGGAGTTGCTTCTTATGAATGGGCAAAGAAAGTGGTTCCTTGAGACAAAATCTACTCTAAGGATTTAGGGTATTCCATAAACTTAGTTGATAAAGCAGCAGCAGGGTGTAAGAGGGTTGACTCCAATTTTCAAAGTTTTATTGTGGCTAATGCTACTGAAAAGGAATGCATGCTACAGAATCTTTCATGAAAGAAAGTGTCTATTGATGTGGCAAATTTCATTGCTGTCTTATTTTAAGAAATTGCCACAGCTACCTTAACCTTCAGCAACCACCACCATGATTGGGCAGCAGCCATCAACATCAAGGCAAGACCCTCTAACACCAAAAAGATTACAACCTGCTGAAGGCTCAGATGGTCAAATTTTTTAGCAATAAAGTATTTTTAAACTAAAGTACATACATTGATTGTTTTAAGATATGGTATTATACCATTAATATATTGAGTACGGTATAGTGTAAACATACTTTGTTCCAAGACTTACCACAGCTACACTCCTATCTACACTAAATTTTATGAAACTTAAAACTCCTTCATAATTTTACATTTTGATTTTGAGAAAAACTTCAAAGGAAATGTGGAAAGGTATTAGGACTTTTAAGTTTTTAAGGAATTCATTTAAACCTGGGCCTTTTAAGGACCAATTATTCATGGATTACTCTTACTTGTATCCTCATTTCCCTTAGGAATCAGTTGTTACTTGTACCAAGGTAGAGGTGTTGATTGAAAGATTAGTTTTAAGTTTATGTTAGTAAAAAGAAAGCCAGAGAGCCAATCAATATGGTTTAGTTCAAACATACCTTTATTTCAATGGCAAAAAACATTAATGCTATGTAATTGTTGAACAGTTATATACATCTTAAGAACAGTAAACATACATCTTAAATAGCAACTCGTGTGTGTTAAAATAGGCCCACCAGATTATACAAGATGAAATATAAATGTTTGTTGATAATTTGAACAAATACCTAATAAAATATTAAGTAACCAAAGTTTTAGAGCATTAGTTCCTCACATTCCACACAAAACTTCCAATGCTGATCCATTACATGGCATGGGAGAAATTCTTGATCACTTATTAATAGTATTTCATTTATTTGTAGATAACGTGGGATGCTTTGCATTGGCTCTCCGGAAGTTCCTGTTTAAAGAAGTATCCATAAATTAAAAACTGCCCTCTGAAATATAAGATTTAAATTTTGCTATTACAAATCCTAGAATCCAATTGAGTCTCTGTGAAAGCACATATAAAAGTTTTCTGATAAGGACCTTTTTCTCTCAACCTGTTTTCTGTACTCAAGACAAAGCTATGAACCAGCACTGGCTGATCTTAGGAGAGAGAGGCCTGTTTGAAGTCTAAAACATCAGCAGAAAAAGGATGGTGGAAGCTTCTGAAGGTAGTTGTACAAGCTCCTCTGTGCCTCAATTTCCAATAAACTGAGAATAAAATAGTTGTATTCAGTGAGATTTTGCATGAGAAATTCTTAGCATACTGCTGGGCATATAGCAAATAATAAATACTAGATGCTACTATTATTACTAAAAGGAGTATTAAGCTGTAAGATTTCTAGTCCTGCCTCTGCCACAAACTTGGTGTGTGATCTCAAGCAAGTTATATGGCTTTTCCAGACTTCCATCTCTTGGAGATGTGAGAGGGGTGATGATCAAGAAAGTTCCTTTTGGCTCTTCTAGTCTAAGGGGCCAATGATCCTAAAACTGGTTTCTTCAAGCTCCCTCACAGTCTGAGAAACTTTTTTTCTCTGAGATTGGTTATATGAGCTGTACATCATTCAGCAAGTTGAATCTTATTCCACAGATAGCAACAATATGAGTGTGGCGTCTATATGGCCAACCCTTTCCCAATACTTGGCCCATGTGCTTCTGGTAGAGTTGTTTTCAACCTCCTAATTTGCTTCGATCTATACCAATCAGTGAACAGGCACTGAATCAGGAGTGAGAATACATCCCATTCAGAGGGGAGTGACATGCAATGAGCTTTTTTTTTTTTTTGAAACAGAGTCTTTCTCTCTTGCATAGGTGGGAGTGCAATGGCCCGATCTGGGCTCAATGCAACCTCTGCCTCCCAGGTTCAAGTGATTCTCCTGCCTCAGCCTCCAGGGTAGTTGGGATTACAGGCACCAACCCCCATGCCTGGCTAATTTTTGTATTTTTAGTAGAAGCGGCGTTTGGCCATGTTTTTAGTAGAGACGGGGTTTTGCCATGCTGGTCTCGAACTTCTAATATTAGGTGATTGGTTGGCCTCGGCCTCCCAAAGTGCAATAAGATTTTTATTGGGTATTTTGACCAAGAGTCACATACATAGTCTTCTTTTTTAGACTTGAACCTGGAAGCATGTAGCCCTGGGATGATGAAAAGAAAGGATATTAGAATGGAGCTAAAATAAGGAAATGGAGCTGAGAAATGGAAAGCAAGAGAAACAGGTGCATTGTCATGCTCTTTGAACACTGAATGAAACCTGAAGATCTGTTCCTGGTCTTTCATGTACATGAGTCAATAAAATTCCTTTTTGAGGGGTATAAGCCAGTCTGATTTGGGTTTTAAATCATCACGTACAATCCAAAGAATTTAAAACTTTTTTATACATGGTCCATATGTAAACATACTGATTCCCTTATTAGGAACTTTGTTTTATAGACTTCCTGAAACAAAGTATCTCATAAAAGTGAGGGAACAATTTTCTGTTAAAAAACTCAGAGAAATAAATCTTTACATATTAACTTAAATTCTTTTCTTCAAAGTTAGCCTAGTTTCATCATCTAAACACTATTTTTTACACTAGTCTTTTTCTCTATTAAGATACTATCCCCCACTTTTGTTATGATTTGTAAAACTTAATGTATCTACCATAGTTTGTTTATAATTTGTAATTTATTATCACTTTTCATTATTGAGGCATGTGCCAATTCTTCTATAGAACTGATACTCAGAAGCAGACTTTTACATTTTATAATGTAAAACATTTTACCTTTTAAAAGGCTCTGCCAGTCAGATCCAAGATGGCCAAATAGGAACAGCTCTGGAGTGCAGCTCCCCGCCAGAGCGGTGCAGAGGGTGAGTGCTCACTGCATTTCCAAAGAAGTTTTCACTGCCCACAGACCAGGAGATTCCCAGGCCAAAAAGTACCATGAGTTTTTAGCGCAGAGGTTTTAGCCAGTGCCGCATTGGCACACAGAAACTCACACAAGTCTGGGCTGCCTTTTTGGCTGGTGCCCAGAACACCTGGGAGACAGAGCTGCCCATTCAACTGAAAGGGAGGGGGCTAAGACAGGGAGCCAGGGGATCTGGATGAGCAGATACCACCCCACAAAACAAGCAATCTGAAATGCTCTGGATTGAGAGTTTCGCAGCAAGCGCAGCTGGACTCAGGACCATCCAGCTCAGTGGGGGGAAGGGTGTTTCCCACTACCAAGGCAGTCCGCCACAACCGAGGCAGTTCACACAACAGCAGGTCAGAGCCTGTGGCAGCTCTGCAATGCCTCTGCTGGCAGACTGTGACTAGACTACTCCATGCAGGGCAGGACATCTATGAAAAAAGGCAGCAGCACAACAGGGACTTATAAATAAAGCCAACCTTCCTAGGACAGAGCACCTGGGAAAAAAGGCGGTTATGAGTTCAGCTGCAGCAGACTTAAAGGTACCTGTCCAGAAGCTTTACACAGAACAGCAGTGCTCCCAGCACAGCACTTGAGCTCCTATAAGGGACAGACTGTATCCTCAAGCAACTCTCTGACCCCTGTATACCCAAAGAGACACCTCATAAAGGGGAGATCAGGCCGACATCTGGCAGTTACCCTTCTGGGACTGGATAGCAAAGGAAGAAACCTGCAGCAACCCTTGCTGTTCTACAGCTCCCACAGGTGATCCCTCGGCGAGCAGGGTCTGGAGTGGACCTCCAGTGGTCCTGAAGCAGAGGAGCCTGTTAGAAGGAAAACTAAGAAGCAGAAAGAAATAGCTTCAACATCAACAAAAAGGACATCCATCCAGAGACCCCATCCGAAAGTCACCAATTACAAAGACTACAGGTAGATAAAACCATTAAGATGGGAAGAAACCAGTGCAAAAAGGAGGAAAACACCAAAAACCAGAACGCCTCTCCTCCTCCAAGGGATCACAACTCCTCACCAGCTAGGGATCAAAGATGGATGGAGAATGAGTCTGATGAAGTGACAGAAACAGGCTTCAGAAGGTGGGTAATAACAAACTTCTCAGAGCTAAAAGAACATATTCTAACCCAATGCAAAGAAACTAAGAACCCAGAAAAAAGGTTAGATGAGATGCTAACTAGGATAAACAGCTTAGAGAATATTATAAACGACTTGACAGAGCTAAAAAACAGAGGATGAGAACTTCATGAAGCATACACAAGTTTCAATAGCTGAATCTACCAAGCAGAAGAAAGGATATCGATATCAGAGATTGAAGATCAACTCAATGAAATAAAATGAGAAGGTAAGAACAGAGAAAAAAGAGTGAAAAGAAATAAGCAAAGCCTCCCAGAAATATGGGATTATGTGAAAAGATCTAATCTACGTTTGATAGGTGTACCTGAATGTTATGGAGAGAATAAATCCAAGCTGGAAAACACTCTTCAGGATATTATCCAGGAGAACTTCCCAACCTAGCAAGGCAGGCCAACATTCAAGTCCAGGAAATACAGAGAATACCACAAAGATATTCCTCAAGAAGAGCAAGATTATGTGCCCAAGGCACATAATCATCAGACTCACCAGTGTTGAAATGAAGGAAAAAATGCTAAGGGCAGCCAGAGAGAAAGGTCAGGTTACCCACAAAGGAAAGCCCATTAGACACACAGCAGATCTCTCAGCAGAAACCCTACAAGCCAGAAGAGAGTGGGGGTCGATATTTAACATCCTTAAAGAAAAGAACTTTCAACCTAGAATTTCATATCCAGACAAACTAAGCTTCATAAGCAAAGGAGAAAGAAAATCCTTTATGGACAAGCAATTGCTGAGAGATTTTGTCACCACCAGGCCTGCCTTACAAGAGCTCCTGAAAGAAGTACTAAACAAGGAAAGGAACAACCAGTACCAGCCACTCCAAAAACATACCAAATGGTAAAGAGCACTGACACTATGAAAACTGTGTCAACTAATGCGCAAAACAACCAGCTAGCATCAAAATGGCAGGATCAAATTGACACATAACAACATTAACCTTAAATGTAAATGGACTAAATGCCCCAATCAAAAGACACAGACTTGCAATTTGGATAAAAAGTCAAAACCCATCGGTGTGCTATATTAAAGAAATCCATCTTACATGCAAAGACACATAGGCTAAAAATACAGGGATGGAGGATTACTTATCAAGCAACTCGAGAGGAAAGAAAGCAGGAGTTACAATCCTAGTCTCTGATAAAATAGATTTCAAACCAACAAAGATCAAAAGAGACAAAGAAGGGCATTCCATAATAGTAAAAGAATCAATGCATCAAGAAGAGCTAATGATCCTAAACAGATATGCACCCAATACAGGAGCACCCAGTTTCATAAAGCAAGTTTTTAATGACCTACAAAGAGACTTAGACACCCATAGAATAACAGTGGGAGACTTTAACACTCCACTGTCAATATTAGACAGATCAACGAGATAGAAAATTAACAAGGATATCCAGGATTTGAACTCAGATCTGGACCAAGTGGACCTAATAGACATCTACAGAAATCTCCACCCCAAATCCACAGAATATACATTCTTCTCAGCACCACATGGCACCTACTCTAAAACTGACCACATAATTGGAAGTAAATCACTTCTCAGCAAATGCAAAAGAACGGAAATCGTAACAAGCAGTCTCTCAGACCACAGTGCAATCAAATTAGAACTCAGAATTCAGAAACTAACTCAGAACCGCACAACCTCATGGAAACTGAACAACTGGCTCCTGAATGTCAACTGGATAAACAATGAAATGAAGACAGAAATAAAGATGTTCTTTGAAACTAATGAGAATGAAGACACAATATACCAGAATCTCTGGGACACATTTAAAGCAGGGTCTAGAGGGAAATTTATAGCAATAAATGCCCACCAGAGAAGTGAGGAAAGATCTAAAATCGACATCCTATCATGAACATTGAAAGAGCTAGAGCAGCAAGA